ATGCCATACAGAATATAAGGCCTCTGAGGGCAGGGACCAAGTCTTTTTCCTCATAGAATGTATTTTTACTTAGCATACTGTCCATGTATCTATAATTTTGTCTGGTTGTCTTACTTCTCTAGAATATAAATTTCATGACTATTTTTCTTTAACTGTAGTATTTCCAGTTCCTAAAAGAGTTCCTGGTACTACACACTGGGTGTTGAATCAATCAGATGACAGTCAGTGAACAAGAGCTGTTTTCACCTTTGTGCTTTTACTCAAATTGCTTCTTTCTTCGGAATGTGCTTACCGCTCTCTCTCTTGGTTTAGCTAATACCTCCTCATCCTTTAAGACTCAGATCAGGTAATTAACCTCTAGGAAGTTTTATTTGACGACTCCAGTGGTTAATATAGCACATGTGTTTTAGACAGAGCCAGGATTTGAACAAACTAGCTTTATGATCTAGAACTCACCTCTACAATCTCAACTTTTTTTCCATCTCTCAAATGAAAGTGATAATATTCATAATTCGTAGAGGCGAACATTAAAATAAATAATACATGTGAAGTACCCGGCACAATATCTGGCACCCAATAAGACCTCAATAAAAAGATGCTATTACTTTAGGCTAGGTTGAGGGTTCATTTTCTATATTCATATAACATGCCTTCTATATATCTAATGATGTACTAACATCCTGGGTTATAATGATCATTATATGTTTGACCATCCCCGCCCAGGACAGTGACTTCTTTAAGGCCAGAGATCAGATCTCAAAAATCTTAATGTCTCTAATATACCCTAGTATAGTGCCTGGCACACAGTAGTTGCTCAATAAGCTTAAAAAAAAAATGATATAAAGAAGAAAAGTAAAGTCTAGAGTTGCATGCTATCTGATATGGTAGTGAAATGTTTAAATTTAAATCAAATCAAATCAAATCAAAAATTCGGTTTTGTAATTGTACTAGTCATACTCAGAGAATTCAGTAGTCATGTGGCCAGTGGCTACTGTACTGAACAATATATAGAACATTTCTATCATCATGGAGTGTTCAACTGGACAGTGTTGGTCTTGAGACTATGAAAACAAATAACTTAGTGGCATCTATTATTTAATTTAATATAAATACCAATTGAAAAAGCTACTCAGTTTAAGGCACTGTGCTAGGTTATGGTGGTATAAACACATAGGCTCTCAAGAGAAGCTGCCTAATTAAAAACTATAAATAAGTAGTATTGCATCATAAGCACTATTATTTCACTTATCGGGTTCACAGAGAAAAAAAAATAAAATTACAAGCACCAAGAATTTTACTAGAAAAGTTGTTACAATTAGTGCCTAGATCCTCTACAGTTAAGATTCTGCACATGCAGAACACAGAATATTTCACCACCTCAGGTCTCACAGGATCTTCAATCCCCACAACAGCAATGCATGTAAGGCCGGTGACAATATCATTTTCATTATCCCACTCTGGTTCTGGTTCTCCTGCTGGGAAATCTCTGAATGCAAGACATATGGTTCTCAAGCCTTCTGATGCCATCGGTTCAATCACAGTTTTTACAATATCATCACGGTCCCTTGGTCTGAACACTTTTGCCTCACCATTAGCACTCAAGATTTTGAAACACCTAAAAGGAAATGTTGAATCCAAACATCAATAATTAACAAAAATAAATGGTTAATACCATTTAAATGAACTGGAAGGGCTAGAAATCATGGGATCTGATATCTGGAATTTAGAGAACTATATATGTTGTATTTTCACAGACTTAAATCATATTTACTTTTCATTTTCCTCTTTACAAAAGACAGTTCTAATTTTATGGTTCTCATTTGATAGTTTTCCATTTTATCAGTTACTCTAGATATTCTCTAAACCTTTGTTTTAGAAATGCACAGCTTTTACGTTTTCACAGAGAACCCATAGAGTCAGAGGAGAATAAACTATACACACCTATCCATTCTGGTACAGAGTTAAGACATTAATTTTAATCAATACAAAATTCACAAATATTTTCTTCTTTTAAAGTAAAAAGCCAAGTTCAATCAACCCCTTACCTGAGACGTTGTTTCATCACCTATACTGTTTTAACCATGGAAGAAAAAAAAATAACTTATTGTTAAAATAAGCATTCTATTAGAATGAGAGAGATAATGCCAAAATAGTTTTACTGTCAGTGACATTAACCACAACCTTTTAATTATGTGGTATACGAAAATTACATTGTAGACTTCTCTAAAGTTTATTTTTCATTTAACCTATGTTCCTCTCCCTTGGTGATGCCACCTCCTCCTGCTTCTAGGCAGGTGACTGCCAAGTCCACATTTTCTGTTTTTACTGTTTTCCAAAGCTTTCCATCACTGCTGAAGAGTTCCACTCAAAAGTTATACCGGTACCTTAAATTTACCGTGTGTAAGACTAAAAGCTGTCCTCTCACTGCCCATCTAATGAACATTATCCCAATAATTTCGATGTACGGTAGTAAGTCCATTTAATATCATTGATAGGTTCTGCAACTTTAAGTGAAACAACGTATAATGAAATCAATTTTACCATGGGCTAACTGATATAAACAGGAGTTAAGTTCCCATGGCATCTCATCAACATTATAACGACTTTGAATGAAATGTTATTCAAAGACCTGCTATAAATCTAAAATCTCACCTTACTTTCTCAATAAATCTAAAATCTCACCCAAATACTTACTTTCTCATCATCCATATAATATTAGCTCCTAAGTCCTATATATTTGTCTTCTCAACAGTCTTCTGAATGGTGCCTCTCCTTTCTCTTCCTCCCTCTGCTACTGCCTTTTTCTGGCTCTCACGTCGAGCTAAAGCCTTTTAACTAATATCTGTCTCCAGTCCATCCTTTTTCCTCCAACCCACCTTATTCCCTGATGCAAGAATTATCTTCAGACCCAGCTTTGATCATTCCATTACTTGATAAAAACATACTTCCGTCATGTTCTCTGGCTTACTAAATTTTAAAGGCTCAGCCTATATATACACACACACACACACACACACATATACTTACTATATATCAGATTCCATTCTATGTATTTTACAGGCATTATTTTATTTCACTGTGACAGAATTGGTGATTATCACTTTCTTTTTCAGTGGAGAAAATGGGAAGCTAAGAGAAGCTCCCTAAAATCCCAAAGTTAGTTAGTTGCAAAAGAAGAGTCAAAGCCTGAATGGTTCTTGATTTAAAGTATCTCCCCTGTAAGCCATGGATGCAAAATTTCTAACCCTTTACACTGAAATCAAATAACCAAGCTTACAAAGCTCTATGTGGCCTATGTGACACAAAAGCCCATGTCTTGTTAGCTGAAATATACTACTAGTGATTCTCCAACTATGGCCTGCATATCCTACCTTCTTTTCTCTGATGTGACTTCTTTCCACCTTGATGAACTTACTTCATACCAAAACCTATCTTAAATGCCGCAATCTTATATCCTAAAACTTTACCCATTTCTCATATGTTGCCTTTTCATTAATTTTATAGTTATCTCTTAAGCCTATTAGACCATAATCTGTCAAGTATTCATTTAGATAACATTTCATTATAGTCCATATAAAAGCAACTTAAAAGTAGAAATATTTTAAATGTTTCGATTTCAAATGAGTTCTATATTTCCAAAATTGCTCTTAAATTTCTTTTTTAAAGTCTTCTGCTTCTCTAATTAAAGAAACCAAAATAATTTCAACACCTGTAATAGCATATTAACATTAGGGAAATTATAGATAAACATGTAGTGCCAAAATTGAAGCTACTGGTAAAATAAAGTAAATGCTTAAAAAAATTGAAGCTATTGGCCTGTACAAGGACAATAAAAAAGATTACCATTCAAAATGATGGGAGATATTTAAATATAACATTGCAGCAGCATAAATATGATAAAACTTCACTCTGATATAGAAGGAAAATTCTCAAGATCTAGTTTTAATGCTTTGCTATCTTAAAAACTAACCTATAATTCATTCATCACATTTTTGAGTCTACTGTCTACAATGCAGCGTTGAAGATACAAACTTCAGTTTTTCTTCACAAGAGGCTTATTTTTCATGATCCTACACAACAATGAAATCAACATGGCTAAAAACAAATATCAAGGTTTACTTAATTAAATCTACCAGATTGAATGTAATGTGCTCATTTTCCCTATAGCAAAATACTAAGAAATGAAAGAAACTGATGTATGAAGATGGCAGAATACCACGGGCAAATATCTAGATACCATTAAAATATACTAAAAAGCTTTAAGTAAAATATACATCAAATGCCTGATGCTTACAAAAAAAGAAAATAGCAACAATAACAATATAGTGAGTATTTCATAAAGCAATTAATAGTTAGCAATTTAGCTAAGCATTTTACTCTTACTTTTTCAGAATTATTTCAGATGCACCCTTGCTGAATATTCGATAGCTTCCATCTGAATTTTTCAGGACAGTACTCATGGACTTCCTAACAGAATTGAAGGTGTAGACTTTGTACAGTGCTTCTTCCGGTATTTCATTTCTAACATCCTGATAATCCCGTTTTAAGTCCAAAAGAAATCCCAACAAGGCACATTCAGTTTTATTACCAACATGACGAGGTAATCCACCCTCTTTCTCTGGTGGCTAGAAGAGAAAAAGGTTTAGAACCCAGTATCTTGTTTTTCAATGACCGTTTAATTCATAGTGTAAAACAGAATGCGACATTCTAAAACAAAATTATATAGGAAACTTCTACTAACATCGGCATTTCAGAGGGACACTGAAAGGTGAGGTAGAAAGGCACTCTGGAATGAGAATGACGTGGATTCCAATTTCAGCCCTGCCAGTTACTAGCTCTGTACTTTCGGTAAGTTACCTAACTGCTGTAACTTGCCTTCAGCATCTGAAAAATGGGAGCACTTATGACCCAAGAATAAAATAAGACATGTAAAGTTTAAAATTGGTTCCTGACACATAGTGGGACGTAATAAATTTTAATCTCTTTCCTTTTCTCTTCCTGTTCCACTGAACATTTATATTAAATAATTCAAAGTTAAATCTACTTTACAAATTGTTATGACTTAAAAGTATATGCATTAAAATAAAGCACTGTTGCCTTAAATATATGGAAAAGTTTTTTTCATAGTATTTTCACAAGTATCACCTCATATCATCACAACAGGATTAAGGGCAGATGAGACAATCTTTATTTAACAGTTGAAGAAAGTAAAGCTCAGACTTTCAGCTAATAAAAGGCAAAGCTAGATCTAGAACCAAGATCGCATAACATTCCAGTCCAATAATCCAACACATGCATATTTTCAGTAAACAACCTGCAATATTAATTTTGTTCATGCATCCATAAATCACTAGAACACATAGCAAGTGAAACAATTTCATGCTTCATGTTATAACTAAGTGTTTTAAAACTTGCAAAGTTGAAAATATTTTATTCTAAGGTAGTATGTGTCTGGAATTATTTGATTGGGTTAACTCTAGAAAGTCTAAGGATCTCATCTTATAGGTAGGATCTACTGGAAAGCCAGAAGAATATACAGTAAGCATATATAAAACAGTATTTTAAGTTGAAATCTGGCTTCAAAATTTTTCTAGAAGAGTGAGTTGACTTTCTACAAAAATCATTTTTTTTTTGTCTACAAAAGTAAGATAGCCTGGTCTTTCACAAAATGAGCTCAATAAAAATTTAAAATTAAGAACTGGTTCTGGTTATAAGGCTTGCGAGTTTCTAAGTAGAGGAAATTTAAAAAATGGGAGGAGAAAAATATAAACAGAATGTATACTTTGAGCAACAGATCTTAATCTTAACACATTTTGTCAAAGAAACATATGCATTATATGAATATATGCCTTTTAAAAACAACACAATTCAGTTCTTCAATTTATGTACAGTAATGGTAGGTCTAAAAAGTTACATATAGTCTAATCATTACAAATTAAAAAAAAAATAATTTTCATAAATAAATTATTAAAGAAATCCTTACCAGTATTTTTGATGTATATGCACAATTCACAGAAATTCCTGTTACAAGATAGGACAAGATATTTGGTGGAATAGCTTCTGGTTCAGGGATCTTTTTATAATGCTTTTCATTTATGTAAGCTTGAACAACTGTCATTCTGTTCATTGTCAACGTTCCTGTTTTATCTGAACAAATGGCTGTAGCATTTCCCATGGTTTCACAAGCATCCAGATGCCTTACTAAGTTATTATCTTTCATCATTTTCTATAGTGACGAAAAAAATCTAGTTAATCTACATATAAAACCAGTCACTTCATTACATTAAAATTATATAAACTGCTTTAAAATCAGAACTAAAACTCCCTGCTGTATACAGATACACAGTATAAAGAAACAATATAGGAAGAATTTTAGTATATTTGACCTATTCAAATAAGCTAAAGAGAGTACTAGTTTTCTGTGATTTCAATAACTTTACCACTAAATAACATAATCTAGTAAATGAATACAGATACCTGCACTCATATGCATTATCACATTGATTCTATGCCTTCAAAAGCTTCTGCAAAGTGTTCTCACATTACAAGAGCAATGACAATCTGTACTCTAAGTATAGAGGTACTTAATAGCAGTGTAAGAGTGTAGCACCTTTAAAAATTAAGTCTCCTTATAAAGTGGAAAACAAAAAATTCTTGTATCAATTACCAAGAAAAAAGTAGCTTGTATCAACTAAAATATATAGAGCTTGTGGGCCTGATTTGCTTTTCTTTTCTTTTTTTTTTTTGACTTTGATAGGCTGAGTTAACATATCAAAACCAGGATGTGTCCAGGTCCTTCTTATCTTTTCCATATACTAGTACACTTGGGTATTTTCATCATTTGAATCACCTCTTACTCTTATTTACAAGAAAAAAAAAAAGTTTCTAAAAAATCAAGAGTTTCACAGTAGCCCCCAAAGGCATTTAAGTTAAAATGCTTGGTAATTAATTCCCAAAGCATACGTAGAATGAATTAAGATCCACACAGAGTTAGTTTACAAACTGTGTTCTTTGACTACTAATATGCAAGATACTGCATATTAAAAAACCGGTTCCTTGAAGAAATAAATGTAGGGAAGAAAGATGTATACTTCCCAAATTACTTGTGATTTGAATTACTATTAAAGATGAAAAGAATAAAGTTCTGCAGTAAAAAAAAATGTGTTCAATTTTGCAAAGCACTAATAGGATCTCAGTGTTAATAACAGTAGCTGGTAACATTCGGGTTAAACATTTAATAAACACTTAAAGAACAGTAGTTAAAATGCTCTCACTTTCTATTAAAGGAAAATAAATCGATCCTGCCTATCTTTCTGATCAACTGAAGAATTAATATCATTCATGACTATTCGAAGTGAACTAATGGCAACATTGGTAAAATGACTGCTCAATGTGTCTAAAATATGTGTATCTCAATTATCTATAATTATCTTAAAACATCAAAAAAGGACAAATAGATAATTATATTGTATTTCATCAACATTTTGATACATTCACCAACCATTTTTGAAACAAAAGATGTAAAATGCCTGAAAAAAATAAACAGTAATCAAAAAATATCATGACAGGTCTGTTGTAAAATACTTGGGAATACTGGAGAAAAGAGTGCTAGAGCAGAAACTATGAATAATTACTTTATACCACTCAATGTCAGCTACGTTACTTAAGGAGAACTGCTAATTAACATTAGAAAATTGACAAGAGCAACATTCTTCCATTAAGTATAATTTTACTTGCGAAGCCATTTTGAAAGAAAGATCAAAACAGTCCAAATTAAGCCTTTTTTAATCAAATTCATCTTTTCCACACAAGATATAAAATCAATAAAAATAAATTAATAATCTTCAACCGATTATCACTTTAGATAAATAGAAGTTAGCAAAGTCATCGAAGTTCATTTTTAAGTATTCTACTTGAAAAACAAGATGGAATGAGCTACTGTAAATAGTGGTCATATGTGACTAGGATATTTGAAAACAGCAAGAAGACTGGTGAGGCTGAACCAGTGAGAGAAAGAGGTAGGAGATTAGCACCAAGAAGTAAGCAAGGGCCAGACTGGGCAAGGCCCTGCAGGCCTTGACAAGGAACTGAGATTTTACTCTTAGTGTCATGAAAAGCTACTGGTGTTTTACACAAGGACTAGACTACAGAGTAACAGGGGCAGAAGAGTGGAAACAAGGAGGACTGAGAAGGTTGGACTTGAGTGAACCCTCTCATTGTTCTTATACCACAGGTAAATAGCAATCTTATTTTAATCTTACAGATGGGAAAAAGGAGGGGACATAACTTGACAACGTAACTATCATACGATGAAAATTAAGCCAGAAGTTTGCCTAGCAGAGCTGTGCTAATAAGTTTTGCACCAAGGCTGTTCTCCAAGGAATATATAGGTCTCTATGTACAGGGCTCTTCAACTGGGGTGGGGGAGGGAATCAATGACAGCATTTCTAAAGAAAACAGTGTAAATTTATGGAATTCTCTTTACTTTCGGAATCAGAAACAAGAGTAATCAGACATGCATTTTCTACAACAGCTGAGGCATCCGCCTAACCATTTCCACTTACCTTGACTGAATAAGCCAGAGAAATAGTGACTGCAAGTGGAAGACCTTCCGGCACAGCTACCACTAAAACTGTAACTCCAATAATGAAGAACTTCACAAAATATTGTATGTAAATAGGTGTGCACTCAGCAAGCCATGGCCTCTTCTGAACCCAGAATGTATCAATTACAAAATATAATACTAGAATGATAACTGTGATGGCAGACATCAACAAACCTTTTAATATATAAAAAGAAAAATGTAATTATTTAAATATTCTAGATACTACCCATTGTCAGTTATATACTCGCCACTAGAAAAATTATAACTGGTTTGGTACTATTTATTTTAATTTCTCTAAGAAACTGTTAACTTCCTTTTTTGCACCTAAACTCATCACCTGACACTGTCATGTTTAATTTCTACTTCCAAGTATAGCCCTATCCCCAGGAAAACTGGGGAGAAAGCATTTATGATTCTTTCCTAGACTTAAATGTATCTCTAGTCTTCTACTAAAGCTGAGACAAAATAGGTAATGACAAGGAAATACCAAATGCTTAGCATAAGCTGGTGCTTTACATGCTGGCAACTTGCCTGTGGCTGAAAGAAAATCCAATAAGAATATGATCAATGGGAAGAAGTGAAATTAAATATTCAACTGTGTTTTTTATTTTAAAAAAACATAAATTATCTGAATTACTCCTTAATTTTTTTACTCTATCACTACTGCTCCATTAACTTAGAAAACCAAGGGTTAACCATGCATTACAAAACATCTGTGGGTAATTTAGCCCCTTAAAAATGAGTATTAAAAAATAAAGCAAGTCCATATACCTAGGTCCAATAATCCAATCCAATGCCTACTAAATACTGTTACTATCTTAAATCCGCCCTTTTCCTCAACACTATAGTCAGTATTACCATGTGGCTACATATTACAAAAAAGCAAGTATTTGCTATTAGATAATAAGCTTCTTGAGGACAGAAGCAAAAACTTAACTTTTTCCAATATATACCTAGGAAGTTATAGAATGATGCAATGTAAGTGATTTTAATAATATATGCTGATTTAGGCATAAGTGTTCTTTCACAAAGATGGTACTGCTAGAGGGCATGCTCTCTTTTTATTTAAGAGCTTTCCTTTCATTGTAAGAGTGGTTCTCTCAACAGGTAATGGCAACAATTTGGTAATTTCAGCCTCTAACATCAGTATGGTTCTAACTAATCTATTTTACTAAACTATACCTTGAGAAAACACATACCTAAATTCTTCATAAAAAGGATGAACAAAATGTGTGGTGAAATTTCTTTTTATTAAAATGCAGTTGGTAATCTGTATGGAATAACCTCACAACTAGCCCTCTCTGTATTTCTCCCAGAAATTCAGAAATGAGAGCATGGGTTTGTGAACTGGGCAGACATGGCCACTAACCCAACTGCTTATCAGCTAGTTGACAGAGGAAGCTTCCCTCTATGCAAAGTGGGAACGACAACTTTTAAGCTGCAATAATATGAGCATCTGCAATAACTCAAAAGGCATGGTACATCATGGATAAAAGTGAAAATATTTTTAACTCCCTTTCCGCTCAAAAAGCAACAATTTCTAGTCTTAAATGTGTTTGTCAGAAGACAATTTTTAAGCAGAAATTAGAGTATTTCAGAATGAAACACCTCATTTTCCTTTATATATCATACCCGCTTTGCCAATCTGAACAGCCAGCTTTGTAAGTTTCCCTTGTAAAACGGATTTTTCCTTTTTTGGCAAATTTGCTTTCTTTTTGTCTTTTTCATCACCATCTCCACCTTCTTCACTCTTCAAAGGCTGCATTTCCATGGCTGCACCATCTTGGGCTTTTGCTACATTTAAGAGTAAATATAACTTCACTACATTTTAAAGGCACTCATAACTACTGACATTTTGAAGCAATTTTTGATAAAAATCAGTTTCTTTTAGAACTAGAAAAGGTCTAAACATTCAGCTTTATACGTGCACCTGTGTATTTCTATCCAGGGAAAATAAGACAATAGTGACACTTGGTTGTGAAACTTTGTATCAGATTTGAGAATGCTGTGCTACATAATAAAGATGAGGCATAGGAAGAAATACAAGGTCCCTAAACCAAGAACTAATACCATATCATTTCTCTCCTCCTGTGCTGTGTTAGGTAATAAGACATTCCAAACACCATAAATCTCTTCCGTATAATTTATGATCATAATATAGAATATTATGTACAACCTTATGTATAGAGAAATGTATGTATGTACAAATAGATGCAAAAAACATTTATGTTATATATGGTTTCTCATGCCTTTCAGCTAGCAATTATATAATAACCAATGTTAAAATACCTAAAACGTTTAAGTTGAAAGTTACTTGCATCTGGATTTTTCTACACTTACTACCACAAATCACAATTAACACTATATTATTATTACACAAACTTATTAACACTATTAACAAATCACAATTAACACTATATTATTATTACACAAACTTATTAACACTATAAGGCAGCATGACTAAGGCAATGACAAGAAAAGAGGTTAACCTAAGTTAATATTCATTGTTGATTTTCCTTGCTACATGTATCTTACACTTTTGGATGATGACAGTATATACTAGATATACTTTGGGATAAAATGAAAAGGAGTTAACTGTACTTTCTTCGTCCTGAATTTACCTTTGTTGCGATTCTCAATAGCTCCATCTTGTTTCTTATCTGTAGGAACAAAATGGGAATTAAAGCTTTCCCAAAGAAATGAATATATCCATACTAAATTATGTAAAGGTAGTTCAGTTCACATTGCTATAACAGCATTATGACACAATGGTTATGTGTGCTCGTGTGTACAGATTAGAAATCATCACTCCCTCCGTCTTAATCAGAGTGGAATAGTACAAAATAATTTTGGTCTCTATAATTGTTTGGTTTCTCCATAAGACTTTACTCTTTTTTCACTGTAATAAACCCAAATATAGTACAAGAGGTTTTCAAACTAAATACAAATATAATCCTAAGAAAGTGGAAAAGGGCAGGGGTAGGTAAGGAGGGAGGAATATCACAGAAACACAATAGGTAGGAGAGCTTTGAAGGGAATGAGAACAAAAATAGTATATATAAAAGATAGGGGAAGCAAGTAAGTAAAACTAGAATATGAATGTGCAGAATTAGCCAGTAAGACTACCAGCTGAGATGATTCCAATAATTGGCTTAAATTCAGAGAAAAGAGAAAGATGAGAATGTCTGAATCAATAAATCATTAAGGAAGGAATGGATCTATTAGGAATAGGCAGGATAATATTAGAAATGACAAAGAGGAAGCAGATCCATTCAGCCTTTTTTCCCTCCAACTTCTCTATCAGGGAGGGTTATCTTCAAATTGGAAAACATGGAACAAATACGGTTAAGCAAGAACAGAGGCTCAAGATCAGTGAGGAGATGAGAAGAGACTACCTAGCTACTTTCAATGAGCTCAAGTTTGGAGAGAGACCAGACAGCCACATTCCAGGCAACCAGGGGAAATGAGACAGATCACCCTACCCTGGACTGCTTTTGACTGAGAGGAGGGCTGGAAGTTCACAGACGGAAAAATGATCTCCCGTTCTACAAAAAAACAAAACAAAAAAAACAAAGAAACAAAAATGGTAGACAATCAGTTAGATGTTAATTCCTGAGAATATGTTGACTGGATTAGTAAAAACAGGGGTATGAAGTATTAAGAAATAGGGTGCTTACTGGAAGAGTGTGGGGTCAGTAAGAATAAACACATGACACAAACTTCCCTTTAACAGGGTCCATCCGCTCACTATATACTCCTATAAATTAGGATGTGGCACAGTGTATGATTGGTTAAGGTTACAGACTCTTGAGCCAGTTAAGTGAGTGTGATTTGTCACTTAACAGACCTTTGACCTGGATTAAGTTATATAACCTCTGTAAGCCTCAGTTTACTCATCAAAAAGAGTAGTAATAGTCTTTATGTCTTATGGTGGTGAAGATTAATAAGTTAACGAATATAAGCTTTCAATAAATGGTACCATTACTACTGCTTTTCAAATTGTCTTCCATTCTGCCTTAAGAACCTAAGGAAGCACATGGGGGCTGTGGTGAGGAGTGGGACAGGGAAAACCCAGAATGTAGAGCTTGCTGCCCTCACTTTTGGCCAGAACTTTGCAAACACGTTTTTGTTTGAAATAAAGATTTCACAGCTAAAGACATAACCCAAAGAACAAAACAAAACACCCCAATATTAAAAACTGCTATAGCAAACCAAGATTTTAGCAAGGCATTTATTTCAGAAGATCGCAAAATACTTATGTATGTGAGAGAAATATGGACTTACTATTTTAAGTAAAATCAAATAAATCTAAGTGGCTATACCATAATACACTGCTGTCAACTTGAAGGGAAAAAACTCTGGAAGAGTGATCCTGAGTGGATGAAAAGGATGATGTAGTAAATACTTAGAAACAAGGTAAGGAGGACTTTTTTTTAAGTACCATGCTTCTCAACTAAGTGATTTTGAGTTGCTTCTCTATGTATGATGGAGTTTCCTATAAGATCCCTGTGGATAAACTATGGTTATCAAATTTGCTGATGACAGATCACTTAGAGCAACAGCAGAAATAATAGATCAAAATAAAGATCTTGGTATCTAACAATGGCCGGAACATCACACAAAAAAACAGAATAGGTGTCAAAGTGAAGTGTTGGCCTTATGTCCAAAAACCAACTACATAAGTACAGACTGGAAAATGTGAATAGTAGATTAAGATTAAAAGTAGAAAAAGATTAAAAGCTCAATGAGACCAAAATGTGATAAAGCTGACAAAGAAAGCTACTACTAAAGTAGCAGCAAAAAAATAAGCAAATAAGAAATGAGAGTTTAATTCATTTTTCTAGTCAGATTACAGGGAGATTCTTAAACTAGAGAATAAACAGAATAAAGGCAATGGAAACGTTCAGAGATGATGAATTTACCATGGTAAATTCATTAAACCCTCTTCATGAAATATTTCATCTAAAAGAAAAACTTCCTCTCCAGCAATTCTACCATTTGGAAGTACAATATTGGGTAATATTATAACTTTTTATAGAACTTTTCATATCAAATCTCACGAAAGAAATGTATGTTTTATAACAGTTCTTACAATTTAGTTGCCATATTTCCAAATACCAATTTTTTATAGCAAATCGTCATGCTTACTTTTCTTTTCTTTTTTCTTCTCATCTTTCTTTTCTTCTTCTTCACCTCCAGCTCCAAGTAAGGTAAAGATAATTCCAGTTTGAGAATTTATACCTACAGCAGTAACTACCATTCTTCCAGAGCCTTCCATTACATGAGTACCTACAACAACAGAAAACTTGTTTTTTAAAATCAGAATAGGTTTTTCCTCCTACCACCAAATTTCAAACTTTAGTACTACCTACTCCAGACTTTCATCTCAGCCTGCCTCTACTAGGAGACTAGCCTCTTTGCTAGTCTCTCTGTCCTTCCAGTTCATCCTGTAACCAATTTTAATCTTCCTGATATATGATTTTTATCATTAGCCTCTTATGGCTCAAAAACTTGGCTCCATTTGCCCACTGAACTAAGTCCCAAGTCTTCACCTGGAGATCAACCAACCTTTCGAACTTTCCATCCACTATTCTAACATGAAATTCTATTAATGAAAGCTAGGGAGTAGAAATGGGAACACTGAATTCTGACTCTGTATCTCACAAAAATCTTGCAAGTTGGCAGACATTATTATTCTTATTATTTTCTAAAAACTTGCCCAATGTTACACAACTATTAAGTGGCAAGGCAAAGATTTAATTCCGTTCTGATCAAGGATAGAGGACATAATCTTCTTACAATATAATGCTGATAAATTTGCTTATGGTTCTCCAACTTGTACATCCACATCTCTGCACCCTTTATCATTCAAAGGCTTCCCACCTCTCTAATATTTTGGTGAATTTTAGGTAGCTTTCAAAACTTAACTTTTTTTTTAACACTCAATAAAGTATTCTTTACAGTCATCACTTATTTATTTGATCTCACAGTTCACGACAACCTGAAGAGCACGGTCTATAGCACCTAGCACTATTTTATGTACCGAATCAATTCTCAAAGGTTATTTGCTAAATAACATCATAGGGCAAATGTACTTACTTCAGTCCTTAAGAATTTATATTTGGTTATTAATTACTGAGTAACTTATCCAATAAGAAATTTTTAAGCCTTTAATTTTCCTGGTTTAAAAATCTATATTCAGAATATTTCACTAAATATTAGCATCTGTGCCAGTGAAAATGCAAGAGAAACAAGAAATGAAATTTAGGATAATGAAACAATATTTACTGAGCAAGTGCTATGTGTAAAAGACAGTTTGTTTCTTTTAACAATTTTGGCTTTTGGCAGATTCCAATTTTTTATGTTCTGTTCTTTCTTACCACAGGTAATCAGATGTTGGCAGTGAATGTGCTCAAAGTAAACGGTTTTTGTTCTGTTCATATCCACACGGCTAACTGAAAGACTGCTTTTAAAAATCTAAATTTAAGAAGCCAAGAACAGCAATGAGAGATGGCATCATGAGAATAAATTTAAAAATAAATGCGTTTCATGTGTTTTAGTACATTTTTGGAATAGGGAAATAAATGCAGAAAAACTTTCCCATCAGTACTGCGATAAGGAACTCTACAAGTTATTTCAGTCTTTTCTTAAGCGTGGAAAATTTAAAGAGTTCTTTTGGTATACTTAGTGCATTAGGAACCTGAGTACACATAAAATTATGAGCCATCTCTGTAAAAATAGAAAAGGACTAAAGTTCAGTTAAAGGATGTCAACCTGAAGAGCTAAGCACTATGCAAATAAGCTATATGTACATAAAAAATCCATGAGGTATACATGGCAAAAAGGGAAGAAGTCGAGACTCTCAGTTCACCAAATACCATGGCTCAGTTAGTCAATGGAAATGAGGTTTGATGAGACAGCTTCCCTCTTCTTTGGAACAACAATTATAGATTTTATTTGGTTAACATTAACTATAGTTACTTAGAAGTATGGCAAGGAACAACTATTATAAGTATACATTATACATAAATACATTATACTTATATATCCAAAATATTTCTATTTGGAACAAATCGTAAGTACATCAGCATAAAGAAATACCCAAAGAGAGTACGAATGGCCTTAGTGGTGAAGGAAAGTATACAAACTTCAAGGTTTTTTTCGAAGAAATGTTAAGTCTATATTTACAAATGAAACTTCTGCCCTATTTATAATGGTGTTTATTTGCAAATCTTAAAAAAGGTAATTGTTAAACCGGGGTATGTGTCCCAAAGTCGTGATTGTAGCTGACCTTTGTCATAAGTTTCACTCTGGTTTCCATGAAACCATGTTCAACCAATGAAATATAAAATTCACAGAGAAGAACTGAAAAATTATAACTGCCAATTTATTAAATAGTTAAATCGGCAGGAATCTCCTTACAATGTATAAAATGTAAGCATTTCGTTAACACTTGAAAATGATAATAGAAGACAAATAAAAAAACTTTTCCTTCATCCGAACTCTAGTTTAATTCAATCTAATGTATCTTAGAAAGCAGCATATAATCGTTCCCATCATCTCATCAATTTTATTTCCAATTAACCTTAGGTCAAGCTATCACAGTCAGGCTATTACAAGAGCCTTCCAAATAGAAACCCACTTCCTCTCCTTTTCAAACAGTACCCGTACCCATACAAACCCTTCTCCATTCTCAGAACACGTCTTAATCATGTGCAAATTGAATCCTGTCTAGTAGATGTAGTGCTATTCTAGGATCTACTGTTGATTAGTCATATAAACTTAGATAAATAGTTTATGTTTTAGACTCAGTTAAATGAGAGAGTTGAATTAGGTAAACTTTAAGGATTTTATCAGTTCCTAAAAACAAACAAACAAACTCTGTCCTTTATAGAACACCACAGAGAATTCATTAATTTGTTTTAAACATATCATTCTTCAGTTTTATACTTCAATAGGCCATAAGTATAAATGTGATACAGAAAAATAGAACAATTCAATAGAGATCATTCGATTGATATTTTAGTTTTATTGTTACACTAACATTAACAGTGACTCTCAAATGTCTTGATTTTTTGGGCCCAGTTTCCTGATTTATAAAATATAGCTCTGGATTCAAAGATCTCTAATGTGTGTCAGCTTATCCAAAAAAAAAAAAAAAGTCTCTGAGGATTATAAGGATCAAGCCAGCATAAAATCCAGAATCTTCTTCATGATACTGGCTCTTAAGGAAACCATTTTTGTCAACAATAGTGTATACAGTTGTGGCAGGGGGCGGGGAGGAGTTAAAAGTAATAAAGAAAATTCGTACCTGATAGAAGTAAGGGATCCTTATCTAAAGACTTCTTAACATGATCAGATTCACCAGTCAATGAGCTTTCATCAATTTTAAGATCATTGCCTTGAATAAGTATGCCATCAGCTGGAAGAAGATCACCTAAAACAAAAAGCAATAATATGCTAAACTGTAAGCAAGATTACAATAATTCTACATCTAGTATCACATCTATTACTCTTTTTTACTTACCATATTTCACTTGCGCAATATCTCCAACAGTAATGTCAGCTACAGGTATCTGAATGACCTGACCACCCCTGATGACTGTGAACTTCTGTTCTTGTTCAATTCGACTCTGCAAACCTCTAAACTGTTTTTCCTTACTCCAGTCATTGAAAGCTGTTACTAACACCACACACACTACTGACAAGAGGATCGCAGCTCCTTCAATCCAGCCTGTTTCACCTTCACCTTCTTCCTCTCCAACGGAAACTTCTCCACAAACTATTTGGAAAGAAAGAAAAATGCTCATTAAAAAGTATTCTGAATTGAAGGCAATAGACATGTAATAAGTTAATTTCACTATATACAAGTTAATTTCACTGACAGCTCTAAACACCTTGATGAACTCAAAAGCATTCTATAAGCATGACAAGAATGCTGAATATATCAATTTCAACTTCCCTGCCTCTGAAGATTCTCAACCTCAGCATAGGTAGGCACTCTAGGGTACTATTTAAGAGTAAGGACACTGTAGAAGATTAAATCCCAACTCTCAGGCTAGTTACTTATTTTTGAGACTCGGTTTCTTCTGTCAAATTAGGATATCACTACCTACCCCAGAATTGTTGAAAACTCAATGAGAAGATACTTAGGTAGATTAATAGCTAAGATATGCTTTGTACTCAACCAATGGTTAATGCTATTAACAATTACATATGGTAGACAAAATGCACATGAGAAGTATTAAGTGCTATTCATGAATCATGCTTACTTGCTATTATCAATTTTACTGGAGTATGATCAAATGTTGGCTTTCAAGACATAAAAAGTTAAGCAAAGTACTACTTATTAATTCAACTACTTGATAATTTGCTCTAGGTGCCAGACACTATTTTAGAAGCTAGGGATACAGCAGTGAATAAGAGATACAAGCTCTGTCTCCTCAGGGAACCCATACTCAGATTGGTAAGTTCAGATGATATATGAAGAATGCAGATAATAAAACAGACAATTAGTATCAGATATATTAAGTGCCATAAAGAAAATAAAACATGGTGGTGTGGTATTAAATGAAGAAAAAGGGCTAACTATGGTTGGGTGAACAAGAAGGCTCCTCTGAAGTATCCATGACATTTGAGCTAGGAGCCAGATGATAAAGGAGAACAAACCATATAGCTTTAAGGGAAGAACATCCCAGGGACAGATTGAAGCCAGTGCAAAGGCTCTCTGGCAAAAGATAGGGGAGGGAAAAAAAACCTCTCAAAACTGTAAGGTCAATAATGGCGAAGAAAGAATAATAGAACAGGGTTTTTTGGACTTTGGACTATAATCTATTTGTGAGCCTAAAATCAATTCAGTGGCTCGTGACCAGCATTCTGAAAACTGAAACAGAACAAAATAGAAAGGATATTCATGTATTGTTTCTTGACAGCTTACTTTGGTTATTTATAAATTCACATGAAGCCATATGTTCTTCTGCATTCCTATATGAAGTTGTTTCTTATTGAGGGTTGAGCTAAAATCTCTGAAAGTCAATGGTTCTCTTAGGACAGGCGAAGTAGGAAAACGATTATTCAGAATAAAAGAATGAGTAAATAAAGGACACTAGAAACAATTAAGGCATATTCCAGGATTGTGAGCATGAACTGAGCAGTGGATATGAGGTGCAGGGTGCTAAATAAAGATTAATCTAGGAGAGCTACGTGGCACAGGTGAAGGGGGAGAAGACAGAGATGAGAGAAAAATCAATTGAGGATGAAATGGAAGGGATGATGTAAACATTCACAAAAAATTTGCCTCATATTTCATGAATGTATAGTGGAATTTTCCAAAGACTACATTACATGTGCTAATATAACACAATGGATACAGAAGCAGATGAGAATCTAGTTATCTTCAATTAAGCCAGACATTAAAGAAATACAATGAAATGAAAAACACCACTACTCTTTTCATTATTTCATTTAAAACTTCATTAATAATAATTAAACATAGTAATTATAATTACATATTTATTTTAACAATACTTAGTTATTTTAAATGCACTGATAAATACTTTAAAATTTCTGTTTTAATTTAGAATCCAGTAAATATTGATAGATATAACTCAAATGATCAAAAGCTCTTTACTTTAATACTTACACTCTTAATATTTTAAGAGTGTAAAGGGGCCCTGCGACCAAAGAGTTTGAGAGCCATTAGTAGTATACTAGTGACTACAGATTTATTAATGACATGGGTTATAAGACATTTTGATAATTTAGATTTCTATGACTGTAGGTCTGTAATTCATGGATTTCCTTTTAAGCAGATTAGTGCTACTTAACGTTAAAACATAATATGATGAAAAGATACATAGAGTTCATTAATAAATGTTAAAAAGAATAAAGTACAAACACTAACTTCTTACCATGGAACATCTTTAGATATTTTATTAACACCGTCTAGTAGATTCCGAATCTCTTTAAAGGACTTAATGATACCGACAACTCTAGATTACCCTCCGAATCTCTTTAAAGGACTTAATGATACCGACAACTCTAGATTACCCAGTTGAATCTAATACTAATATCTCCTTAAGCAAATTTGGGAAAGGACCTGTCAACAGATCCCACAATGAAGCGGTCCCAATTCCATAAAGATTTGTCCAGACTTTATCAGTAACAAAATCCACTACCACTGAAAATACCTTTCTTTAGTTTTCTTATAGTCTTGTAATAAAAATGTTAAAAGTAAAAAGTTTTTAATAATCTGTTAACTCACTTCAATTCTAGAATACCAATTCCTAGTATTCTATAATGAGTTAGGTAAACTGAACACTAATGAATTTAGCTGTCTATTGCTAAACATGGTATGACTTCTTTTTTCAAATAAAAAGATACACACACCTACACATCCTCACACCTACCTATGCATGCATACATACACACGTGAGCACACACAGACACATGAACACAAAAATGTATTTTTAAAATCTAGGAGGATATATATCAAAATGGTATAGCAGTAATCTGAGAATGGGACTTTCAGTGAATATTATTTCCTCTGAATTGTTATTTTCCCCTTAATTTTTTCTATAGCAAAATATATACTATTTTATTATATTATTTACTAAAAATAAAAGTTTTAAAAATACTTTAGCTCCATACCGACAAGAACATTGCCTAAATCCTTTCTTATTTACATCAGTTATTCTCAATCACAGGTAGTTTTGCCCCCTTTGGTATACCTGGCAATGTCTGGACACATTTTTATGTTTTTGGTTGCCTCATCTGGGAGGTGGTATAATGAACACAGCAGAAAAGAATGTTCCAGTGCAAAAATGTCAACAGTGCTGCTGCTGAGAAACCTTCATATACACTGATCTCAGGTAAAAATAGCCTATTCTGGGACCAATTTTCTTCATTAAAAAAAAGTTCTCACATGAGCTGTAGGCATACCTTTGAAGGAATTATCTTAAATGATTACCTAAGCCAATTTTTATTAAGTCTTCATAACTTGAAAAGTATAAAAATGAAGCTTTCACAAAGAAAAATATTTTGGTGAATCACCCTCTTGATATATCAAATACTATTGTTTCACTCTATAGCTACTTAAATATCTTGACCAAAACTCAAGCTAGATTTCCTAGCAGGTATAGAATGTACTGTCACTAATATCTATTTTAAATAAAATTTATAAAAGGAGAAGAAGATATCTGAGAGAGAAATGAAGGGCATAGAAAGGTGTAATAAAAACAAAACCATTTACAGCTACAAGTTAAAGCAGATCTACCATTCTAGAATGTGTTTTTTCATTGGCCAGGATATACTGTAGCACGAAAAATTCTAGAATGGCAAAGAAGTTACCCAGATCACATACATAACAATACATATTAAGAAATTCAAAAGTAATAGATCAGGTAGGAGAACAGAATTTTGCTTTCATAATGATTTCCTGAAAGATTGTCAAAACAAACAAACAAACAAAAAAACAAATGAAAAACAAATTATTTCACAAAAGTGTGCTAAAGAACTTAAAAACAGTGATGGCACAGACCACATCATATTTATGGCTTAGCTCCTTGTCAAACACACAGCATGTATATATGTGCAGGTTATTTAACCTCTGAGTCTCACTGTAGAGTGGAGGTGACACTATCTATACCATGGGGTTATTGTGAAAATTATCTGAGGTAATATATTTAAGGAATTACTAAAGGCGCTATTAGAATGGTGCCTGGTACACAGTAAAAAAAAAATGCCAGCCTGCCATTATTATTACGTATTACATAAGCAAATGAAATGAACTTAGTAACACACATAAAAGTCCTTTTTTTTCCTCCCCAATTTACTTACGTGCATTATCTCCTTCTGGAGGTTGATAAAAAGAAAGGCCCAGTGATACTATGGCTGCAATTTCTAATATAATTAAAGTGACATCTTGTAATGCTTCCCATACTAATTGAAGAAAGGTTTTTGGCTTTTTAGGAGGTATAAAATTCTTTCCAAACACTGCTTCTCTTCTTTCTATATCTGCAGGGTTTCCACTTAAACCTAATAATAATAATAAAAAAAAAATTTCAGTAAAGTTTTAATACTTACAAATGAAAATATTTACTTTATTCAAAACACATTCATTCTTTACACTTTAGATTCCAATTCAAAAAACCCTTTATCTTTACGTGTTAGTCATGTTCAAAATATAAATCATTGAAAACATGTGCAATGCTTTAAAAGAATATTTTAAGTAGGTAACTCAAAATTAGATTAAGAATTTTCACTTTTCCAAACTGCTTATTTTAGATCATACCATCTTGTAGACTGCTAAAGACTTAGAACCGATAAGACAATTTGATAGTTTTTATATTGAAATTATACATTTCCCTGACCTTTACTTACAATATTTCCCTCCAAAAATGAGGAAATATATAAATGTATTTTTTTTGCCTTACTTACTGCATCTTGGTTAACTTAATCAATGAAAGTCTTTGATTTTTCACTCATACTTACTAAAGAACGACGAAAAGTTAGTTAATTTATCACAAACTCTAAAACTTTTCTACTAAAATGTCTGTTATTCCTGGAGTGATAAAAGATTTGCAAGTTACAAAACACAGAAGACTTAGGATTTATTTCCAGTTGAAGAAATAGGTAGTATTATCGACTGACTGCACCTATTGTGGCTGTAAGGGAAAGGTACATTGTAAGACATATTTAATACCTGGAGTGTGGAATTAGAAAGCTGTGAGGGAATGTGAACATCGATTTTGCCTTTCCTTCACCCTACTGAACAAGTCCTCCTCTAATTTAACCCTGTTGATCTTGTCAAATCTAGATATATCCAAATTAGCTAATGCAGAGTTATGTACATACATTACTGTGGAGGTATGAAAACACAGCAGAGACAAATAACATTTTTCCTTAGTTTGTTTAAGAATATTGAAGAAGGGGGCAGAGATACCAGGATGTTATGACTTTTAATTTATCATCATAAATTTACCTTCATAATTAATTTAATTAACTTCAACTCTTTTTTAGGGGGAAGCAAGAGCTCATTCTAAGAGAACATCAAAGGAGGAAGACCGGAAAACAACAGATTACTGGAAAGCTGTCTGCTGGCTATGTTTTAACTATTAATCTCAATGCAGAGACAGGCAGAGAGTAGAAGAGAGACAACAGAAAGTACACTGTTAGAATAAACAATGAAAAATATACAGATTTTAAAGTAATTATTTACTTTGTTAAAGATACCAAAAATATTCCAGAGAATGTTTTCACTAGCAACTCCAACAAAGTTCATACTGGGCAGTTCAGAAAGCATATTAGATTTCTGATGACAAAAGTCATCAACTGAATGCTTCCACAGAGCTCTAGGCTTTGAGACAGTCAATGGAAAGAAAGGCAGTGAAAGACTGTAGCAACTGTATTAGGGGGAAAGACAGTATGAGAGAAGAATCTTATAAATTATAATCCAGAATCCATACCCTGTTTCTTCAGACTAGAGCAATGCTTCCTAAATCACAACTGACGCAAACAGTTAAAACTGGTCTATGGTTTAAATGGGGGATAGCAGAATTAATGTAGTGAAGTTTCTCACAAAACAAAGTTAAAGAATTAAACTTTGAGATGTTGTTCTGAAATTCTGTGCTTGCTGCTTTTCAAAATAAATGTCCTTTCTTCTATGAAAGGATGATACTAGATAAGTTTATCTTATATTTTAATGCCCTTACTAACAAAAATAAAAGATTGCTCTCTCCCCTTGTCAGTCTCCATTTTTTTCTAAGACATCTTCTTGAAGATATTGGTTCTATCAGTTTCGCTCACACGAAATAGAGCCTACCATTAATTATATATACAATACTTGGTAGTTTTAAATATCACCACTGTAACTATAAAAATAAAAAGCAGCTGGACCTAGAGGTTATTGTAATTCTTCTATACTACCACCAAATATACAAGCACATACCTTGGTCACTATACCAATAAAGCTGTGTGACTTAAGAATTGGGTGGAAAAAGGAAGGCAGGAGTTAATGGTTCTGCTTTAAAGATTTTCACGTAACATGCCCATTAAGCAAATAAGAGGAAATTCTAGTAGATAGCTGGCTATCCATATCTGGAACTCACGGAGAGATCTGAGCCAGTCATTAATATACAGTTGATTCTGGAGCTATGGGCCTGATAAGAATTCCCGGAAAGCTAGCATTAAAGAAGAAAGCAGGGCTGAGGTGAGAACAATCCAACATGTGATGGTTAGACAGGGGAAGAGAAGCTAAAAGCAACTGAGAAGAAACAGAAGCATGGAGAAGGGGGTATGACTCATAAACAAGTTCATGTAATACTATGGACGCCTAGAAAAGAAGAGTTTTCTAAAAGATGAAGATAATGTGGCTGACTATACCAAATGGTATTACAAAGGTTGAGTAAGATGAAGACAGAGAATGGACAACTGGGTTTGGCTAAATGGAAGCTGATGACCTTGATAAGGAATCTTCCAGTAGAGTTGTATGTAAAGAAAGTCTGATAAGAAAGAACTGAACAGAGAATGGGAATGAGTAAATGGAAACAATAAGTGTCAATAACTTTTCCCAGGAATATAATATAATGGGGAGAAATAAAGCAGTAAAAGAGAATTTAAATGCATAAATACTACCAGTTTGTCTTTTTAAAGATGAGTGATAGATATTAAGCAAATTATTTACCAATTAAAATGATCAAGTAGAGAAGATGACACATGATACAGGAGACACAAGCTTATGCTAGAGTAAAGCCTTTAAAGAGGCAAGAGGAAATAAAACCCAAGGCATGGGTGTTAGTCCATTGTAAGTGCAGGAAGAGGCGCCCATTGTAAGGAGATAGAAAGCAAAGTTCGTGGGGAAGAGAAACAGCTAAGCTGGTAAAACTGGTAATAAGACTACACGGTCCTAGTTTTAAAAATATAGTAGGTATGATATGAAATCATTAAGAATAACTTAAAAATAAAGATAATGAGAAATCTGTCTAGTCCTGTTGGTTCAGTTGATTGTAGTGTTAGTGGCAATGAGGCCAAGGGCATGCGTGGCACTGATTTCCTCACGGCCCAGTTAGCTTCACAAAAAAACCATCGAAATTCATTCTAAGGGCATATGTGAAACCACTGCCAGCTTTAAGGAGGAAAGTGACAGGCAGTGTGAAGGGAGAAAGAAAAGATACCAGTTAGTATGCTGTTATCTGAATTACAACAAGAGAAGACAGTGGCCTCAAACAGGGTAGTGGGGACGTAAAAATGCAGGCACCGTGAGTTAAGACAGATGGAAGTTAGAATTTCCAAAGTGAGTAAGAGTGAGTGAAAGATTCCTATCAAAGTCAAGGCCACCTAACAGGTAGATAATAACAGTTTCACTGGAAAGGGGAAAAACAGAAGTATGCTTTCAAAAGGGAAAGTTTGAGAAAATGAAGATGTCTAAAAAAGAATTGGGCTTTCAGCCTCACAGCTTGGGAAAAAAACTTGGATAGTAGCTACAGATGTAGGAATCATATGTACGGTTTTAGGAGTGGATGACAACACCCATGGAGAGAGTGTAGATGAAGAAGACTGTGTACAGATGAACAGAAATCTGTGGCCTGCCAACATCTCAAGGAAAGCATTAAGAGGCTGATGAGACTTGGCCAGAAGGAAGAAAGAAAACCCAAGAGTATAATGTTATGAAAGCTAGAACAGAATATTTTGAAAAAGAAGTATGTTCATTGTATTCAGAAAACAACTTAAAAAAAATTCTAAAGCTATGCTACTTCAGGCTCTATTGAGCACAACTTTAAAAAATAATATGTATGCTACAAAGTTAGAGGAACAGTTACAACTAACTTCAAGAAACTCATAATGAAAACTAGTGACCCAAGCAAGTATTAAATGTCTAATTCTCTATTACAGCAGCAATAAGTTTCTAGGACAAGTCATATAGGATCATCAATATAAAACCATCATTAGTAACTCTATACGTGTATTAAAGCATACATGGCTGGCATACTATGGCCATGAAAATCCTTGCTGAATGCCTGAAAGACCTATGCCAACCTGCATAACCACACATATAGATCAGGGTATCAGAGCATTCTTGTACTAGCTGATAAGTCAATAATGATTTCTTCTGGGCAAAGGGATGATTTTTTGAGAGAGCTAAAATAGATTCTCATGTGTGAATGTTAGTTCTATTATATTATACCACAAAGACATAGTCAAAGAACATTACTAACAGCCTTATTTTTATGAGTGCAAATATAAACTGCCATCTGAAACATGGAAACGTAAGTCAGCCAGGGACAACTGCTGTTGACTATACCCTGCTTCCTACCACATACATCTTTTGTTTCTTTCTACCACTGTTTCCTTTTCTTATTTTCTTTGCTTTTTTTCTCTTCTACCTAATTTTAGCAACCACCACTTAAAAAGGTTAGTGTCTCATTTGCTTCTTGCCCTTCACAAGTCCATGAAGCCAAGCCTCTTACAGAATAAACTACTTGGTACCTGCCTTTATTTTTATGAATTCATTTTTATCTTTTGTTTAATGCAGTACAACTGAGTGATGAACATCAGACCAGGGCTACAGATTTGCATTCTAGAAATATTATTAGAGGCTGGTCTACCATTCAATATAAAATATAATGTAGATAACATAGAAAACACATTAAAATGAAAAAGATACCAAAAGCTAGTGTAAAAATAAAAGGATCAAGAAACATGATTTAGAATAGGAATGAGAAAGTCAATGTAGGAAAACAATAAAGATACAGAAGAAAAAACTATAACAGTAATTTCACTGAATTAGGATGTTATGAGCAGGTTATTTTGGCATAAAAGTACTTTCTTGGATTCTTGAAGACTATAGGTAGATGCTTAATCTAATAGATAAAGCTAAAAATATAAAGTTACAAGTCTCAATTCCAGTTAACCTTGAAATTTATAGTTCTAAGTCTTTTAAGAGTAAAGATGGTTAATCAGAACCACTGGGAAGTTTTTAATTTGAAAACCACATCTTCCCGAAACACCTCCGATTGATCAAGACACATATAGTAGGCTTCAAATCAAGTTAAAGAACTACTCTGTTAGAAAATAAGCAATAAAGTAGCAGGCCAAATGAAGGAACACACAAAAACAACTTCCTAAATAGGGCGTGGGTATTTTAAACACTAACTGATAAGCAGGATCTGAAAATCAAATTTTTTTCCATCATGTAAGTCCTGCCATTAAAAAATACTATCGAGAAGAGAGAACACAGTTACCTCTTATTCAAGATTCCTCTCTTCCGCAAGCTGTATGAGCTGAACTTTTTTATAAATAGGTGGTTCAATATAATGGTTAAAAGCATGTTACCTGTAGCTAGAATGTCAAGGTATGAATCCCTGCTCTGGGCTTATGACATGTGAGACTTTACAGGTAAAGTCACTTAGTCTTTTGTTGTAAGTGCTTTGGCTGTAAAATATGATAAGGCTGTTGTGAGAGTAAAACGAGTTAATATATGTTAAGTACTAACAACCAATCTGGCACCAAAAGTGTTATGTGTTACTTATCATTTTTGCTACTGTTCTTAAGAAATGTTTTCAGTTGTTCCCCCAGACTTTATATCTAATACTGATATCCCCAATATTTCTGATTTTCCTCCTCCATTCATTTTTCTCTAATACACATATCACTAACACACTATACATTTCATTTAGTTGTCTTGTGACTTTGCCCCATGTAAAAATAAGGCAGTGATTTTTGTTTTATTCATGACTGTATGCTTGGAACCTAGAAAAAGTACCTGCCACATAGCAGATATCTCATGAATACACACAATCCCGGCAATTCTAAGAAGCACATATTCTTACATTTTATTAACATCTCTGAAATTGGGATGTAATTTAATTATATACCTAAATTATTTACAAGTAAAACTGCCAACACTAAATCTATTGTTACGGGGTATATAAAATATATGACAATTAACAATCTAGATCTGATGAAAGAATGTATGTGTCAATGAGTGAATTAATAAACGAAAGAACTAAAGCGACTGACAAACTTCAGTTTTACCTAACCAAAATTCATGTACTTTGAAGAATGATTTTAATGTTACTTTCCCTAACTATAAGCAGGTTATACTAACAAAAAAGTACTTGGTGTCTTGATCATTTTCTTGGGCAGATAAACTCATAGCAGATTATACCTGATGATGATTTGTTTATTATCATTTGACTAATTGATCAGTGACAAATGCTCATTAGATGAGTGAATTATTTCTAAATTGAACTAAAACTACTCCTCTGGAAATAATACTCATTTAATCTTACAACTGTAAATACAAATATAATGCTTTGTAAAATATAAAAATAGCCTTTTTCACAATCTAAAAAACATTTCAAAATGACAAACTATATATATAGACATCGAAGACAGCAGTTTGTTCAAATTTTAACAAAAATTAAATTCACAATACTAAGAAGATGAGTAAGAATTTTCTAAGAATAAAAGAGGGAAAAATATTGCACACATTGATTTAATGGCCAAAGCAGCAACAATAGACACAAAATTTTGAGTGTTAAGTGACAATTTCTAGAGATTACACATAGCTTCCATCATGTTGTCAAAGGCAACATATGTATCCCTTCCCTTAATTTTAAAAACAATTGTAATAGATGCAAAATTTTCAGTTAACTTAATAACTTCACTAATTAAAACAAAATTAATATAAGGAGTACTGCCAAAAATAACAGTGCAAAAGAGACTACAGTGCAAACAAATGGGAAATCATGTCTATAAAAACAGAATGCATCATAGAGGGGTATTTAGTTAACAGGAGACAGAATTTTAGTTAATAGCAGAGTAATACAAAGACATGTATGGTTGGGGGAAGTGCAGATTTGAAACCGAAGTTCAATATCATTTTTACGAACAAACCGAGTTGTTACATTGAGGGCTTTTTAATGTAAATGTTCCTATCAATTTGGTGATCATTCAACATTCAACAATTGGCTTTTAGATTAAATGTAGTAAGTACATATGATTGAATTCATTAATTCAATCATATGTACTTACTACCAACTGAGAGTAGCATATTAATGTATAAATCTCTAAGGTGATATAAAGTTAGCTAATATTTCAAAGTGGGTTTGCATATGAACAAATTCCAAGTTTTGTCAAATACTATCTGTTAAAGTCTGTGAGTCTATTCCTGATTCTCTGAATTTACATCAACAACAGGGATCCCAGATACCTTAAAATGGTACAGCATACTGAAATTATAACTAAGAAGAGTTCACGTTTCTATTAGTGGTTCTGACTTGATGATAAGATCCAAAAAATCTGGAAGAGTTAACAGGTCTTGCAGAAAAAAGAACATACCCTAGGTGATCTGAGCAAGCCCTTTTAGAATATGTGTGAATTCTGATACTGTCATGCTACCTGAGAAAAATCAAAGTAACTGCCTATCATTAAAACAATGAGCAAGTTATACAAAATTATATAAAGGTTTAAAAAATTTTTAATGTGATATGATATTCTTTAACAATTTGGAAATAACTTTTTGCTATTACTTTAAATTTTATCACAAGTAGTAGCATGGCATAAGATATTTAAGAAAAAAATATTAAAAACACTTCTGCTTAATTTCTCTAGAATTGGCTTTGGAATACATATTTAAGTTTTAGCATTAATAATTTCTCGACCTTACTAAAATAAGTTGTAGTCACCAAAGGTTCATCCTCATGTATTTGGAAATGCCTTCTTTGTGATGTGAAACTTCCTAACATTAATTTTATGTCCAACATGATCAATGTATGAAAGACCATCCTTCTCAAACCATTTCAAAGACCATAATGCACTGAAGTTATAATGAATTTTCCATCTTTGTTTCTAAAACAGAAACTTAATACAAATCAAAAATTATGAAACCAAAGGCTTCTTTGAACGTAGGGAAACTGAATATAATGCTGAGATTAAAAAACTATTTTTAATCAAAAGAAATGTCTACTAGATCAAAAACTGCCATCTAATCAACTTCATTTGCTTTAGGACCATCTGAATTAATTACTAAAATTTAGGTTGAAAATATCTCCAATAGCTACTGGCAGTGACAACTATTTTAAGTCACCTGGCAAAATGAAGGATAGCGAGTACGGTTTATTTCCACTGAATGCCCTGAGGGATACCAAGCCTGGTTCCATCCTATCTAGCTAGAGGGGAAAAACAACCTTGCTATCATAAACAAGTGGCAATAATATGTACAACAGTAAAAAATATTTCCTCCCACTAACTGAAAATATATAAATTAATATGCAACATTATTTCTTAATTTAAAGTTACTTTAACTGCACCAATCTGAGAGTTAACCCATCTTTAATGTCACTAAAATTATGGCATAAGCATAATTTTAGTACAGTAGCCCAGACAGTATAAGCATGTTTATTTTTGAGTCAACGATACAGTACTCTCTGCACAAATAACTAAAAACAAATATAATAAAACTCACCTTCATTTGGAGATGTTTTCAACCTGGTGCAAATTCCATAGACATCTCCATAGCTTTCCTGTATTTTTCGTAATGCATCTGTAGACCTGAGCTCCATGAGAGCCCGCAGTTCTGCGAGCGTAATACCAAAGTCTCCATCATGATTAGCTTCCTTCAAAGAGTTTTTTACTCCACTATATGAAACTGAGTTGTTTGCCATGTCGCCCATCACAAGTATAATTTATTAGGAGGAAAATGTTTCCCAAAAGACACTAATTTTCACTTGATGTATTTCCAAGATGAAAATCTCTTAAATATGAAAATCTTTCTTAAACCAAACGCTCATTGTATGACTTCGTAAAGCAGCATCAGCAGCATTTCCCAGAGAAGTATCTTGACCTTTGGCCCATGATTAGTTTCCTCATATCAATCATGAGATGTACACATCTGTAAGCAGAAAACATTTAAAAGTTATTAAAATCCATCTTAGAGTATTGTGCATGCAAGCAAATGTCATCAGGTAAGCTAATGAAAGTACATCATTTACTTATGAAAATATTTTTTAACTGTAGCATTATGCCTTTAAAATGTTTTACATAATACAAGATCAAAGTATAACTTCTAAATAGAATTGTATTATCAATCACATGAGATCTATTAAATGAAAATGTATACCACATGACTGAATTTTGTCTCTTTCAGTATTACTGTTATTAACAGTTATCATTAAGTACTTACGTTCCAAGCACTATGCTAGTTGCTTTAAATTCATTCTCTCATTTAATCATCACAATTTAATTCCAAGAGGTGTTACTACTCTCTACTCTTCTACGAGTAAAGTCTCAAAGAAATTGAGGGGTTTCTGCACAGCTAACAAATGCCTGAATTGGATGAGCTAGGATGTCTCCAAGCCCATGTTCCTTCTAGTAATACACAGACGTATCTTGCCAAACCTTTCATAGAGAATAGCCCCTGAAAGGGTAAAAAGCAAAATGAACCCTCTAAATGCTTCCCTGCAATTTTCCTAAGGCCACTCTGTGACACCACCATCTTTTGGGCTTCCTAAAGCTATCTTCCACCAAAATTTTTGTCACATGTCACTACCTCAGGTCTTCACTTGATCAGTTATCCTAAGAAATTCTCCACCCATTAGTCACTCTTTACTGTTACTCTATTTTCTTTGCTGACCCTTAGAATTATCTGAAATTATTTTGTTCATTTATTGATTTTCTTTTTTTTTGGTCTCCTTCCATCTACAGTTTTAGTTCTGAAGGCAGGACACAGGTTTGTCCTATGCCCTGAGAACCCAGAACTGTGCCAGACACACGGTAAACAATCAGTAAGCATTTGAGGAAAGAATAGATGCATTACTTTAATTTTCTTCAAAATACTTTCAAGTTCTCCTCTTACTCTAGAGGTGAGCTCTCAACTCTTCTTTCTCCATCTATGTGCTTTAAACAATCACCTCAAAGTTAATAGATACACAACAATGGATTCACCTTATTCCTAAATCAGAGCGCTCCCTCTCCCAATCACCTGATCCTAATCTCCTAAGCTTGAGATCTTAAATCATCGTAAATCACCATTCATCCTAAACTCAGTTACTGAGTTGGGTTAACCCTTCCTTTGAGAACCCTCTTCTATTATAATCCTTTTCCTTCCTGATCTTCAAGTCCCCCTTGCACAATAATCATTCCCTTCAACTCAGGTTCTCTTTCATTCCAAAATTTCCTATATCCCTTCTGCATCCTGCTGCTACATTTAGACTTTTAAATAGGCACGATGCCACTATATCTAAACCTACAGGATGAAAATACAGGCCTATGGCTCATGCCCCTTTTTGGCATTCAAGCCTAAGCTCTATTTTGTAACCCATGTTTAATACATAAAATGTTTCATGATTAAGAACTAGAAAAGATTACTGGCAAGTGCAATTAATCTTCAGCTATGAAGTTGTTATGGGAATGTTTGCAAATCATGGTACGTGGTTCTCAAAGTATCCATCAAAATCACTTAGAGGGTTTGTTAAAATAATGATCACTGGGCTCACCTCCAGAGTTTTTAGTTTCAGTAAATTAGGGTGGGCTCCATAATTTGCTTTTCTAACACAGTTCCAGGTGATACTAACTCTACTGTTCCAGGGAGGACACTGTAAGAACCATGAGACAGGAGATGAGCTAAAAACTTTGAATTTATACCAGCTGGTTGAGGATGGCTGGTCGAGAAAAATTCTGCCTGCCTTGGGTTAAATTTGCAAGAATGTCGATTCTGTAAGACATTTTCTTTCATTGCCTGCTTCTTCCCACTTCACAAATCCTTATGCTTGCCCAATTATTACCAATTTTACTCGTCTCCTAGGAAAAGAGGGTTTCCTCTTACTCATATATCAATTATTATAGTAACCCAACTTCAAAAACTTGTGAGGTTGTTATCTGATAATCTTCAGGAGTTTTCATACCCCAAATCTGTTGGCATCTGAACATCACCGCGACCATAAAACAAGTTATTTATTTACAGATAAAATAATTAAGGTTCATAAATCTGTTTGTTGAGGGGCATATATGTCATCATTCCTCTTGTTTCCACAAAGAGGAATTTTCCTCAACATCTGGCCTCTTACCCCACCAATTATCACTGAGGTGAAATGAGCTGCATGACAGGAGATTTTCTGAGAGCAAGTAGACACATGTACCTCTTCATTTCTCAGCCTTCTTTCGGGAACCAGATGTCTGCAAGACTCACACATTCTGGTCTAAGTAATTAGGGGCAGATCTCAAGGTTAAAAAATCTATTGTTCAAAGTGCCTGGGATGGGGGTGAATAACTGTTTAGTTCTGTGTTCAATATTAGAACCTCATTGCTGTCACAACAACAACAACAAAACAAAACACAAGTCCTTCATTTCAGTTTTTGTCATTAACAAAACTACTTCTATTTCTATGTGCCAATCTTGGTCTTCTCTCAACAGAAGGAGAAAAGGGTGTTATTTTCTGGGTGCCCTTAACTTTCTCAGGATACACAACAGAATACTAATAGAGCCAGGATTTGAATCTCCATCTGTGACTGAAAAGCCATGCTCCTTCCACTATAAACTGTCTTCATTTCATGTCCTCACATTTATTAAGTTGAAATGGAAGTTTTCGTTGGTCATAAAAAGTCAAAAAATACCAAATGTGCCAATTTATAATAAAATCAGAATTCAAGAGACATTACAAGTAGATATTTGTTATTTGCCATCTCAGCACCCTTTCCTCCCATTTTTCAGCAACACCCCCATATCCAGACACCCCTGCCCATAATGATGACTAGTTTAGGAATGTGGATATGACTCATTGACGAATAGGCAGCAATGAGGCTTCTGCTGTGACTCTGAGGTAGAGACTTGTTTCTTCTTACTGAAAAATTTAGGATGTGGAAAGCCTCTGAAAAGGATCTAAAATAGAGGGAGAGAAGGAAGGAGAGAAAAGAAGATGAAAAGGAGGAAATGTGCCTGTCAGTGCTGGATCACTTGAGCCTCTTGGTCAATCAGTGCCTAAAGTCTGTCCTATCCCTGATCTTTTTGGTAATTTGTCAATAAATTCCTTTTTGAAGTTGGGTTTTCTAACCCTTTGCAACCCACATGGTTTTGATAAGTAGGTGATTACCAATCACGTTCAGTTCCCCACTGTTTAAAGAAAGGGGAAGCAAGGCAAGAGCACCAAATGCAAATGAGCCACTTTCTAAAAGTGACTATTTGAATTACTGATCACTTATAAATTATAAATCAGGCTGCTGTGTATTTCTAGATTGTCAAAAGCCTCTTCCACTATTTTCCTCTCTACCTATTCTTTACTCTTCCACTCACTCACCTAACTAGTGAATTGGCGAAAATGCTAAGGACAAGAAAAAAGTTTTGCTTTTTGCTTAACTACAATATGACAATTAGAAAGAGACACACTATTTGGGATTGAGATATAACAAAAAGTAGAACATTTAATTTTGCTCCTCTTTGTTCTCCAAAAGATTATGATCTTCCATTTAAAAAGTTTAAGAAGAAATGTTGTTAAGTGTAAGCTAAGGCCCCCAAAGAAGGCAATTTTAAAGAAAACACACAGCTACTCTACGTAGGCCTTTTGGCCTACATAATTCATCCCAGAATCCCTGCAGGATGTATGATCAAACCACTCTTGGTGGTCTTGAAGGATTATGGGAAAAGAAGTGGTTTAAGACTAACATCTAACATAGGGAGATAACAGACCTATTCTACCTTGCCTTGGACAAACACATCTATAAAATATAGACACAGTAACAGTAAATACACACTTTGTTAAATGTGTTGATACATATAAAACAATTTGAACTTAGCCTGGCACATAGTAAATGGTAAATATGTTAGCTATTTTTATTGTTATTTAAAAATATTTGCAGCTACATTCTACAGAGAATCCCCCCTCCCCCTAAGGGATACTCCCTCTACCCCACGCCACTTCAGATGAGGAATGTTTAGAAAAATATTTCTAAACCTAGAAGAAAAGAGAATCCTGATGATGTCTAATAAATGAAGCTCTGCTATGCAGATAAAGCATATAATGAATGACTATATCAAAAAAACTAATGAATGAAGGAGAGATACCAACTTTTATTTATATTGTAAATAATAGGCCCACTACACTTTGCATTGGTCAGGTCTAAATTACCATGAAATAATTCTGTAAAACAGTAAAGAGACTGTTGAAGAAACAGGAAACTAGTCCATTGAAGAACTAAAGGAATTCAGTGGAGGGGAGGAATGACTCATGATAGCTATCTTTGAACATCTGAAATTTTATAGTGTATAAAAGTGACTAGATATATTCTGTAGAGTACTAGAGGGCACAAAGAATGAAATGAAAAAAAGTTAGAGAGATTTTGGATAACAAGTTATCCAAAATTGGAATGGTTCTATAGGAGTTAATTTTATGTCAACTTGGCTGGATTGTCCAGATATCAGGTTAAACATAATTTCAGGGTATGCATGTGAGGGTGTTTTGGTATGAGATCAGCATTTGAATAGGTAGCCTAAATAAAGCAGAGTGCCTTCTCCAACGTGGGTGGTCATCAACTAATCCACGGAGGGACTGAATAGAATAAAAAGTGAAGAGAGGGAAATTCACACCCACTCTCTACCCAAAGGCTTGAGCTGAGACTTCCGTCTCCTGCCCTGAAACTGGGAATTACACCATTGGCTTCCCTGGTTCCCAAGACTTGACCTGAACTAAACCACTGGCTTTGCTGGGTCTCTAGTTTGCCGACAGCAGATTATTGGACTGCTCAGCCTCTATAACTGCCTGAGCCAATTCCTCATAATAAATCACTAGTGTGTGTGTGTGTGTGTATTTCCTTTTCATTCTGTTCGTCTGGAGAAGTCTAATACAGGGTCCCTCAGTCAGAACTCTCTACTCCTGAAGTTGATTAAGCAAGATATAAAAA